TTTTCTGTATTTTTTCACTAAAATATAAACTTCATAAAAGAGGAACTTGTCTGTATTTGTAATTTCTGTATCTCAGCATCAATTGCTGTCTGTTAAACAGTAGATTATGAAATGAATGAATAAAATTCCCCAAATATTTTTTTCTTCTAAATATATTTCTTATGATAAACAGAGCATATAATTATCATCTGTTTTTTTTCTTATATTTTTGTAGCCTCATGATCAGAAGAAATAGCATCCAGTTGGGAATCAGGTTTGTGTCTCGCGGTGTATGCATGTATTGGTTCTGGGCCCTTGGGTAAGTCATATATCTTCACTCACATTTTATTTAGCACCTTTCAAAATACGCCATTACTGTCTGTAATCACTCTAATGAACTCCAATGAAGATGTGGTGTAATAACAGCCTTCTATTCCATATGTTTTTAAGGAATTTTTTTTTAAATAAGTAAGGAGAGAAAGTATGCTATTTCTACTTCATTGAGTAATAATCCTACTGGAAGTATAAGGAAAATGAATACATGTATAATAAGAAAAATGTTAATTTTACCCACATTTGTAGTAGAGTAAGACAGAAGAATGTATATCCCTACCATATATGGGAGTTACACACAAATCTGTTGGATCCATGATACGTTTTTATGACTGAAATTACTATTTTATTTTCTCATCTGAATAATTTTCTGTCGTTCTTAATAAAAATACTCATTTCACATTATCCTCACTGTTCTCCCTGAGGTATGGAAGAAGTAAGTAAAAGAGAAAACTGCTATCAGTTTCATATTTTGATTATTTCCTTCTTTGTATTTGGATTTATAATGAAAGCTTTTTAAGTCCAAGAATCATTTTTATAGTTAGAAACTGAATTAGAGTAGAAAATTGAATAAAGAAAAATAATGAAAATTTGTTATTAGATTGGAACAGTAATTATATTCTTATATTCCCTTTTCCATCATAAAATATAATAATTTGATGCTGCTCTCTAATAGATGTGAATCACCTGCTTTTATAGTAATATATTTGCCCAATGGCTAACTATCATGACCCCATTAAATTATTGAAAAGACTTCAAGTTTATCTTTCCTTCGTTGAGGTCACTACATAGAAACATTAAAGAGGATGCTCATTAGGACATACACTTATTCACATAATTAGCAACAACAAAGTTAATATGAAATAATATAAGAGTCTGCTAGACATGAGTTACACAGTTGGTTTTGCTTTTTTTGTTTACTGGTTTGTTACGTTTTATAAATTTCATTCTTTAGTTTTATCTGTGATTGTAAAATACTGGTTTTAATTTGTTGGCTTTCATAAGTTAATAAACTAAAAGTACTGACATGCCATCGTACTTTCATATTGGCATCACTGGTCAAGGGCATTTAGTTTGATACATTGTCTCTACTATGCATTTTAAGAAGTTTTCAGATACCACTCTATAAAAGTATACAATCAAATTTAAAATATTCCAAAAATGACAATGTCTAAGCTCTATCATAAATACATTTAATGTGCTCAGATATATTTGCAAAGTAAACCTCAGCAAAACTTGAAGTTATAAATGATAAAACAAATAATGAAGTTGGTAAAATCATTTTTTCTAAATTCATAGCACGAACAATAAATGAACAAATGCCTCAGACTTAATCCTCTTAGGGTAGAAATACTTTATAGAAAGAGCATTACAGAACACTGAAACAGTTAAGACCTGCTACCCAAGCATTTATCAAGGAGGGAGACTTTTTTCAACTCTGTAATGCAGTTATTTAGGCCATTATTTGACATGTTCTATACCCATTTATAAATGTTGGTTGAATTTTTAAGATCATAATTTAATGTAAATTGTGCTTATATGACTACTTATTCAGAAGGAAATATAGAATCCTGGCAGTAGGATTTGCTGATTATAGGAGCTTTACATAATGTCATTAATAAAAGTCTTGCAGACAACTACTGACAAGGGGAAAAGATGTTAGAATCCTTGGGAGATAAATTTGCACAAAACAGGGCTCAATAATTACTCTTTAAGGAAATAAGAGTGCCACTTATGGCATCCAATTTTAACGAATCTAGGAAAATATTATGAAATATGTTTAGAATTGGAACCAAGGGGCAGAGAAATCTCAAAGGTAACTTTGGAAGGCAAAATTTTAATTAAGTTTTGGGCTGGGGTTGTAGCTCAGTGGTAGAGCACTTACCTAGCACCTGTGAGGTCTAGCATTAGAGTCTCAGCATCACATAAAAAATAAATTAATTAAACAAAGGTATTGTGTCCATCTACAGGTAAAAATATTTTTTTAAAATAGTTTAAGGTAATAAAACAGTATACTATTTTGGTAAAAATGATGTCTGAAAGCATGAGAATTTAATAAAGCTGGACATCTAAATAGTTCAGTGGAGTTTCACACTACATAAAATACAGCATAAAAATTTGTCTTAAGAATACCATTTTACTTGAGAGCTTGTGTTCAAATGCACCTGAAATAAACCAAAGACTTTGAGTAACACTATATTATGGAAAATTTATAGACTTGTCTTGCCGCAGTCTGGCTGGGCACAATTTAGGAGCCACTTGTCAAAAGAAACAAACTTTATTTTTAGAACCACACACGCCAAACAAAACAGCTCCTCAGGAAAAACCTTCAGAGCCCAACTACCACCACTGGCTTCTCCCAAGCCTCTCCACCTCCCCCACTCCTCCTCCTCTTGAGGCCCATTGGCTCAGTCGTGTGGGCAGAGCCAAAAAAGTCCCCCAATGAGCAGCTCTGTGGTCTGAAAGGGCAGGGAAACAGCCCAATGAGCATCACCGCAGAGGAGCCAATCAGTTGGCAGCTAGAAGTTGCTGGGGCTGCTGTGAGCCAATCATCAGCTGGCAGCTGGAAGTTTGCTGGAAGCTGAAAGTTTGCTGGGGCCCCTTTGGCTGTGGCTCTTAACATTGTCTTAAATTAGAATGTTTGACCAGAATGAATTTTTCTTTGGGAATAAAATTTGATCTGTTGTTAAAATTCAACAGTCAGAGGAGTTCACATTATACTATTTTTTGGCATTGAAAAAAGCACATGGTTTAGTTCAATACATTTGGAAGTGGCTAGAAGCCAAATAGCCTAAGAATCTATCAGCTGTGGAACTCAACAGAAATGAAAGAGGTACCTATAAGAGTGGAAAGGCACTCAAGCTGGGCTGATAAAGCAAGGTAGCATTAATTTTAATTCTCTTTCATTCAGGAATAAGCTTTAAGAGTGGTACAACTAGTTGAAAGAGTTAATGATGGTTTGATAGATTAAATTATTAAATTCTCAATTATTTCCTCACTTGCAATTGCCTTATATGTTCATCCCCAAGATGTAAATCCACAATGTGCAGAATGTACCATTTAGTTCATTATATGTTTAGGAGGGACCTTGTGAATTACTGTATTCATTGTGTTTGTAGTAGATGTGACATAATCAGAGGCTAACTCTGCTGTGATCCAGTGACCTGCCACAGGAAGACAATAGCCACCACGCTTTCCCTGATTAAAGAATGACACATAAACATGCAGGGAACATAGTTTGAGCAGTAGCAGGACCAGAGATGATGTGAAACATGTGGAATAGATATGAATTCAGTATGCAAAGTGCATTTATCAGTCTAAAAAGAATTACTGATAAACAGATGTGAGAATAGTGGATGATTGTTTAAGAAATGGAGGAAAGGGGTGGTATATCATGAAGCATTATTGTTACAAGAGCTATTACATGTAAGCATTTTCAAAAATTAAGAAGTTGAGGTATGATCGGCTTTACAAAACTAATTAAAACATGTATTCAAAGGTGAATGAAAAAACCTTCAAATTTGCACACAAAGTAAATATAGAATTATTTTATTCTTGAATGAAAAGGAAAAATTAGTTGTAGGATATAAAATGTCTAAATGCTAAGATTTTTAATTTACATAATTTTAAAATTTTATTTATAAAATGTGATATATGAGTATTTCATATAGCTAAAACTGTTTTGAAAGGATAATGAAAGATTTTTTTTTCACTTTTTCTATTTATTATTTCTCTTTCCTCCAGTTTGTCTCTTCCACTCTCTTTTTTTACTCTCTCCATTTAACTCCTAGTCTCTCTAGCTTTCTTCTTTGTTCTCCCTCATTTCCTCTCTTCTTTTTTTTCCACTCACTTTGTCTTTCTCTTTCAGTATGCCTCTCTACAGATGTGTATGATATGTCAGATTTTAACAACGGCTTCCAGTTAATTTTCATTCCAATGACCTTTGCACAGGTACACTACTTCCTTTTAGTGTGAGCAGAATTTGAATATGATGAAGCAGCATTTGAGATCCTCACTTGATCTAACCATATGAACATTTTAAAGGCAAAGGATTCTAGAAGCAGAATGGGAGAGCCCAGAAATCTTAATCATGGGAATTCCATGTGCGATTACAGGCTTTGAAAATGGTGAAGGTCAAGGCAAGAATCATGGGGCCTCTGTTTTAGGAGCTGAGAGCAATACTGGCTCAAAATTCAGTAAGGATAATAGTGTCAATGCCACAGACATAACTGAAAATTTTATCTACTTAAAGAATTGTGTTCCTGTTATGTGGCTGCTTTTTTACATTTTTGATACTGTTCTTGAAAACACAGATATTTTAATTTGACAATGTCTAGTTGATCT